TAAATATATATTAATTGGACTTAGTTGCATGCACGTCTTCCATTTTTATTCTTATGTTTTTTTTTTTTATCGCTTATAGTATATCGGCTGTCGAATCTGCATTTGGTCTGTGTGTAGATTTCTCTCCTCCCCCACCCACTACGTAATCGTGGCTCTCGTAGTTTCCCATCAAGGTTACATATAAGATTCATAATTTCTATATAACATGTTACAAGATGTTATATTTAATAATCTTATAGCGATAGTAGGTACTATTGTTTCCTAGTTAGCAGTAGGCTGCTACTATTACTAAGTTATTAGTAGATCTCAAAATTCGGCGGTTGTGGTGGGGGGATTCGCGGGGATGCTACTAGCTAGCCTTACGGAAGCATAGAACAAGAATATATATCCAGGTACTAAGTACCACACCACCACCACCAAATTAAGTATTAGTTGTTGAACGGATGAAGCATACTAGTAGTACTATAGAATTGATACAGAGAAGATAATCTGAGAAGTAGTCCTTTGGTTTAACTTGAAGTTAGCTGAGTGATGGTCAGTCCACTATTTGTTAGGTACAAGTGTTGCATTCACACTTCCAATTAGTAGTAGTAGTATTGGTACTATGTTCAGAACATGAATATATATTTTAGCTGAACATGTCATGGAGTTTCTTGTAGTTCATCATTGTGTACTACAGATACGCCAAGAAAAAGAAAAAAAAAACACATAGATCATCGCATTCAAATCAGAAATTCATTGGATGTGTATTCGCACACGACAATTGCACATGTAATTATCGTACACATACAAATACAGCTGTGACAGCATGGCGCCCTTACTTTACCCTTCGCTACCTACCACCTGTGTGCCATGTCTGATAACAACTAAAACCAATCATAAGGTAAAATACATATACAGTTATCTGAAGTGAAATCCGCTTTCTCTTTTTGCATCCCCCGTTCAACGACCCAGACGGGAATACCATATGCTTAATTGCAGATGATAGCGTGGACTCATGTCACATATCTCGTGTGCTTCCTCAAGCCCTACACTCAGTGTGCGGGCAGCAAAAAGCACTATCTTCTCCCTCGTCAACCGTTTTAAGTTAGACGTGCCCTATTGGTATGACGGTAGAACTACGCCGGTGCATAGCGTGGGGTGGACATTCCAGATCAAAAGGATCACTGCGCGTGCTTAACCTGGCCATGGGCTCGCATGCTTCCAGCTCGGCCGCAGTGAACGGGTAGCTGAGTCGTTGCAGGCTACTACCCGCGCTGCTCCGCCCAGGAAGGTGTAGCGTACTGCCTAAGCTGCGATCACTGTGCAGGGAATACCAGGCAGTTGACGTGGGTCGCTGCGACATGTATGATTGCCGCATGACCACAGTGTGGCTTGGAGCTGCATCGGCGAACGGGTTGCGAAGCGTCCCCGCGTTGCTGGGCACGCCGCTACCACGCGACACATACTTGATCTCCGCAGAGTCTAGGAAAGGGTTCGCATCGGAGAGGAGATTTGGACCGGAAGGGGTCCGACGCGCTTGGTAGCTCTTGGCAGGAATTGATAATGGGAACATAGCGCGCAGAGGGCTGGAGGGGGTAGAGGAGTGGTCGGTGAAAGATGACCCGCACGACTGATATACTTGATGTGAGCCTGCTGAGGAAGCAGCCGGACTGCGGTCATCTTGCAGATGTTCCTCACTCGTGCCAGTGGCCAGCTCGTCACGGGGCTTGCGCCGCTTGTGACACATCACGAAATAACCTATTGCAAGCGCAAGAGCAACAAAAGCTACGCCTCCTAGAACGCCCCCCAAGATTGCGCCCAGTGAGGCGTGAGAGCCACCATGATCCGATTGATCTATGTAGCCATGCGACGAGCCATTGGCTGAAGTGACAGCGCTAGTTACTGCTGAGTGTGGAATGAGCGAGGTAGAGGTGGTGTGGGGGTACCGTGTCGTTGACGTCGTTGACGTTATGGAGCTTAGCGCATGGGTGGAGGGTTCTGCTGTCGGAAGTGGTGTTTGATAGCTTGACAATGAACTTGTCTGCGCCGATACCGGCATGTGAAAATGAGTGCCATCCTCCGTATGTGTTTGTATGAGATTGTAGTCGCTAGGATCTGCTAGGGTCGCAGATGCAGTTGTCGTAGGCTCGACCACCGAGTCAACAACCGATGGCTGTAATGACTGTGTAGTCGAGGCATCTGTTAGAACCGCTGCAGCTGCAGCTGTTGAGTGCCATGTATCGGACTGAGAGGGCTCGATGAACAATGAGCTTTCGGTCGTGGACGTGGGGACCGAATTCGTGAATGAGGGAGAGGACGCAGCTGAGGTGAAGGAAGAACTGGTGATTACTGGCGCCGAAGACACAAAGACATTGGAGTGTCGAGGAATTTTAGTTGCACATCTCGAACTCTGATGGAGAACCGCAGAGCTCGACCTGGACATGTCGCCAAGCCCGCAGGCCGGAGGACGCACGAAGTACTTTGCTGGATCAAGGAGGGGAAGAAGAGAAGAACGTGGCCTGCATGAAGAACCAGGTATGATAATAAAGTGCAAAAAAAGAGGGAATCCCTGGATTTGAGGCCGCTGGCGCGTAAACGAGCGGGGGAGGCCGCGGCAATGGTAGTAGTAGCAGCAGTAGTAGTACTTGATGTTGTAGTAGTAGTGAATGACCGGCTCACGAAGGTATGGAAAGAGTGAACAAACGGAAGCCGTGGATACAGTTGGAGAAAGCAAATACACACATGCTAAGCCCGACTCATTGCTGATTTTCTCTACCGGGAGGAGACGGGCAGGCCATGACAGCAGATGTCAGAGGCAATAGCCTGGAGGTGGTGCACCCGTTTCAGGATAGGCTGGTGAGGCAGGAGGGCCAAAAACGCGTGAGATTTCGATCACACGTGAAGAAAGAAGAGAGATTCAGATATATTGAAGAAGCTATGGAAAAAGAGAGAGGCTGTGAAGGAGCAGGGATGAGAGCGAGAAGAGAAAGAGGACCAGGGACCCTGGAAACAAACAAAAAAGAAGAAGCGCATTGTGTTTGGCCAAGCGCCATGTACAGGTGAACCAACAAACCGGCTGTGACGACAGGAAGCAGGGGGGTTTGAAAGAGATTGCTGCCCTTGAGGAAGTGGATGAAACCGCAGTCATCCAAGACATCCAATCCGCGATGCAGAGGCAGCTCTGACGAAGGTGCTGGGCGGCATTAGTCGCTGGCCAGAGAGGGGGGTTTAGGCCCCTCGCCCCTAGCGTTATGTTAACTAACGGCCCTTGGGGGGTGGTCAGGAACCACCAGACGTTGGAACGGGTCTCATTGGCATACGGAAGGGGGTGGGGAGGGGGGAGAAGCCTAGAGAAACAAAGTCAGTCACAACATGGAACATCAAATGGATTCATCTATCTGATGGAGCTGAACCGTGGAGGAAGGGAAAGATGGACAGATGGGATAGATGAGTAGTGAGTAGTAGATAGATGGGAGAGGAAGAAGATGGAGATGAAGATGGACGAATTGATTGGCGCAATTGCCCTGATTGGTTTAATTAAGTAATTGGGAGGAAGATGTGATTGGCAGATATTCATTGGCTGATGGCGACCATCCAGTGGGGGCCCCGTGACTGAGTTACTCTTTTGGGACATACCAGTCAGCCACCTACTGTACCGCTAATCCACTTCCACATTAGTGCCATCATGTGCAGGCTGAGTCAGGATGGTCTAACCTGATTGGGACAATTCCCATCTTTCGGATGAAGAATTGACCAGTTGGTCTGGGTTTGGACGATTGACATTTGACAGCGATAGTGGCATCTACAGGGTGCAAATCAGACTTAGACTCAATTCTCTGCTGATTTTAAATTTCACTGGATCACCCACGAGGTGCCCTGGAATAATGTATACAAATGTATGCATGATGATATATCCCCGGATAAGGACGGAGTGCACCTGTGCAATAGTCAGAAGACGAGAGAGAGAGAGAGAAAAACATTGCCACCGCGGGACTTGTGATTCTCCATCTTCCCTTCCAGGGATCACGTCTACTACCGACGGTGTACAAGTCCCCTCCTTCACCCAGAATTTGGGGGCCACGTATTGGTCGAAACGCCATCAGAAAAAAGGTGGATCGGAAGTCAATTGACATCACAGCCAGAGAGAATGTTCCGTTCTTTCGCATGAGCCCAAGAAATGGGAAAGGCGCTGGGCAGCCATGGTTATCCCCATACTTTTTCCTTCCCCCGCAATATTGGACCCGGGGAAAATTGCCAGGTACCCTTCACAAGTTCACGGATGGGTAAATTGGGTCCCAGAGGCAAAATTGTTAAGAGGAATCCCGGAAGTGTGAAATGGATGGATGGTATTGGGAAGAGAGAAAAGGGAATGGACTGAATGGGTCCAACTCCACTTGGAGGGGAAGGAGAATGATGGATTCCAATGAAGCTCGGGGAGTGTCAAGGACTAACCAGAGAGGCTAAGGCAAACTTGAAGGCGACTAAACCATTTGACCATTTGACCTTCTTTCTTCACTGCTAACTACTAGACTACTACTAACTATCTTATTTCTATTTCAATGCATGCACTTCCCCTCTCTCTCTTCCTCTCTCTCCACTGCCATCATCGCCTTTATCCAACAAATCATCCACCCAAACCTCCAACCATCCGGCCATCCAACAATTTTCAACTCAGCCCACTAACTACTTGTTAACCAAGTTTCTCATTCTTCCCGCTGACTGGTTCATCTACTTCCCACTACTTACTTGATTTTCCGCCCTCTTATTTGTCTTTCCTCCGTGTGCCTCCCGTGCTTCTTTTTATTCTCCCCCACTGCCGGTTAGCCTCACATCGCAAAGTGATGAACTAAACCGACTCAGCCTCCATCTAGTGCTGAGATCTCGCATCGCATCCACATCGCATCCCTTTTGGACTGTTGATTCGATTCGATTTGGCGCATAGAGTACAGTACTAGAGAAAGAGACAAAACACAAAACATCGTTCCCGTTCCGCCTTCCCGCAATCTAATTACGGCATCATGTTTGGCTGGTGTAGTACCTTGGGTAAGCTTCTCCCTCCCGCTCGGTCGTCAATCGCCTTCCCCTTGCATCCTTTAGATTCGTCCCGTCTTATGTGCGCTCCCTTCTACTTTCTATGAGTCGTGCGGAATTGGCGTGGGCCCATCAGAAAGTGGTTAGAGTGGTGGTGTGATGATGATGGAGAGACCCGGTCGCTGAGCCGGTCGCGTCTTGTCCCTTCGTCTCCAGCTGCTTCTAAGAGCCAACTGAATGGCCCCCAACCCTCCAGGCCTGCTGTCAGCCAGGTTGACTGACCTGAGCGCACTCACAGTGTCCAATCCCTAATACTGACACGCCATGCAGGTCTACCCTCCGTGAGCTCAGAGCCGGAGAAAGAGCGCCGTCCTCCTCCCGCCCCCACACCCCTTGACTTCCCCGTCTACAACCTGCCGGAACTTTCGGATAAGGACCCGGACGCTACTCTGTCGAGACTGAGTGAAGTGCTGGCGTCAATCCGACGGCCACAGGATATCAACCCGCAGAAATTCGAGGCGCTCAATTTGAGACTAGAAGAGAATGTGTCCGCAGCAGACATCGTTCGCCCGAGCGGGTCAAACACGGCTCCTCCGCTCCCTTGGGATAACTCGTTAGCCCGCTCGTCCCCGGTGGATGAGGATGGCTGTCCCATCTTGATGGACAATGGCAATTCATATCCCTCCCGAGATCGATTCGAGGCGTTGCAGAACGAGCTCCTGCTGGATAACGATGACGCTTTCAGAGAGGTGGGCAGACTGCCGCCCCGCGAGGGCCGTCAAAGGGTGCGCGTGGCTCAAACAAGGAAGTTTTGGACCGGCCTGGAACGGATGGCTCAATACTGGGATACCAGTTTGGACGAGTATTACGAGCGCCCGAAAACGCCGCCCCCACTGGCAGAGCAGGAAGACACAGACATAATGCAGACGAATGGGGATGCCCAACTGCCAGCGGCGCAAGACCATACGGAAACCCCCATGGACGTGGACCCAGCGCCGCCTGCGGAAGCGACAAAAGACGGTTCTCAGGCGCAGCCAGATACACAGCAGGAAATGGTTACTATGTACAAGGGTCGCCGTCTTGGTGCCGGACAGGAGATGCCCGAGGATGTACGTGAGGAGACCGTTCGAGCGTTGGCCGAAATGGCTGCTTGGCCCTTTGGCTGCCAGGCGGCTCCTCCTATCTCGCCACCTCGGTTGGCCGTGAAGACTTTGCTCTTTCCTGTTCGACACACCTTCCAAACCGCACGATCGCCAAAGGACCGTCAACTGGCGCGAAGCGGTATAATGGAGGGGCCTATCTTTGCAGCGCAGTGCCGACCTGAGACCTCATGGCGCGGGCCACATGATGCCCCAGGCTCTGGCATGGGAGAGGTGTGTGATTTGCTTCGGGAGGTAGGTGCCATGCTCCTGACAGCTCAGGAACGGGCGAGACAGGGGGAAGCAGAGGTGAGACCAGGTGAAGGCAAGTGGTGGACAACCGTGCCCCGATGGGGCGGCGCTCCCAACGACTCCGTCAGTGACAATGAGAAGGAGACACATGGGGAGGACAAGCTGCCATCCGAGTCGGGATATGCTCGCAAGCGCTCCAAGTACGAGCACCCGTTCCTCGCATCGCGTCGACCGAGCTCTGCGCGAAAAATGAGCAACAGCGATAGGTGGAAGATTATCCAGCCCGGGCCCGGTCTTTGGGACAAGCGGATGCGATATATACAGATTGGAAAGCCGCTCGACAGTGCATTTGACGATGTAAGTGGCCTGCTCCGATCATCTTACTTTGTCTGGGTTACATGGATAGGACTAACTGAAACGGCAGATCTACCTATTGTCCTCCATCAACCATCATGTGTCGATCCTTCATCTGCGCGTACACCGGCGATATCTCGAAGTCATCACCAATGGGTCCAGCAACTTCCCGCCTGTAACCGACACACCGGAGCAACCGTGGCATGTTCTACAGCTACGACGCACCCGGTGGTATGACCTGTTCAACGGCGAAGACCGTGTGGAAGCGCTGAAGGGCATTTGGCGCATCTTCCACTACCTCCTTCGACAGCAACCGGAGACTCAGTTTCTAAACTGAGGCTGGGTTGATGTTAGGATTTGACTCTTTTGTTTCATATACCACTTTGTTTGCATTTGATATTAGACGACCAGAACCAGTGTCTACATTGCATGGCATGATCTCAGAGTGTATTATGACGGCTTGATGTATTGGCATTATGACATTCAGATTGCATTTGCTTTGGGTTTCAGCGGCTGGATCATGTTCCTGTCTTAGATTGACTAGATGATTGAAAGACTGCTCCACTATAGAAATGCATGATGTTGCACAAGACCTGAAGGGGAAATGCGCTCTATTTTAGGTAAAGCGATGCATGTTCTGTCGGTAACCGCGCCGTCAGTCTCTCAGCAGTATGAGTGAGATGCCATTGTGACCATGGCATCTTCTAACAATAACAACAAACACCATACCCGACGATCCAGAACGAACCAAAACAAATTCAAATCAACTCCACACGAACAGTCATGAGTTATTTGACATGCATCTCACCGACAGACCGACAGACAGACAGACACCTCTCCCCACCCACCTGTACCTGTCTACCTATGACACGCATCTCCCTCCCTCCTTTCCTCGCAGTAGCATGAGCATTAGCAGTAGCAGTAGCACCACACTAACCAAGCAAGCAGATAGACCAGTGTAGCTGAAACGGAGAAAAAGAATCCGATCATCACATACCTAACTTTTAGTAAGAGTCCATTTCCAACCAGACCAGATAGAACCAGCACCAGCACCAGCACCAGCACCAGCACCCACATTTTCTTTCTTTCTTTTTTTTTTTTACTGTTCTTTTCTTCCCCAATCGCAAATCAAATCCAACGCATCTGATACGTACGTGCTAGTCAGTATCATACTCGATGTAGCTTAGCTATCTTGGTTTTCTTCCATATGGGTACAAAAGTCCGAATAGGCCCATTCTACGTAGTGAAAGGGTTTCTATTTCAGCTCGGAATTGTACTTCCATGACCCATTCCTCTTCTTGTTGCATTATCATTTAGAAGGAATTAGTAAAGTGAGGCGAGAATTATTAACCACTACTACTTAGTATATAGTACTATGTGATTGTACCCCGTAGGAAGGATTTTATCCTATGGATTAACTATGGTGGCGATGATTATTAGTGTCAGCAGACGCGCGACAACGGGAAATTTTTGATTTCGATCTATTGTCCCTAATTTGATATTATTCCTACTGTGTAGACCTGTATAGCTAGCTAGTAAGTAGTAAATATAGTACTCCATGTGTACACTACTACAGTAAGATTAGTAGATAGTAAGTACTATGCCCTCGGATCCTATTTTCCATCCCTAATGCCGAGATGCAACACTGAGCAAGCATGAAGCTCAGGCCCCTTCTTCGAACCCCCGGCCCCCCCCCCCCTCAAATGACCTGACCCTCCTCCTTCCTTAGTTTAAACATTCGATCACAGTGATCGGGGAATCCTGATTGGTTTATCTGTGATTTTGTCTTTGACATATATCGCAGTTCTATGCTGCATCTACACCATACTTAGCAATTAAATTGGCAATAGAAAAAGTTTTCAACACGTATATATCGGTTAGATGTAGATTGGGATCTTTTGGGTTTTTTTTTGGGTTTTTGTTGGGCGAATAGAAAGGTAATTATAGATGTGTGGATTTGATGAGTCGATTTGATTTTTTTTTTTTTTTCTTTATACTTATGTTGTTGTTGTTGTTGTTGTTGGGGTTATGTTGGTGAGGAGGGGATGCTGCTGGGGTGGTAATTTGGATTGTTGTTTCTAGAATACTAAGCTGTGTGTGTGTGTGTAAGTTCTACCTCATGTAGACGTAAGTAGTCTACTCCGCAGTAAAAACAATACTAGACATCTCCACTGAGTAAAACCATACCCCATACCCCCAATAACTCAGTACTTCGTACTAAGTAAGTAACTACTAGTACCCATCCAGCAAACAATATCCATCCATCCATCTATCCAATCCACGACTACAAATGGTCCGCAAAGCAAAGCAGGCAAAAGGCAACGAACGACAGAAACCTAAAACCTTAAACTATATACATATTGTACATTCTAGACCCAATTTCATTGAATATCACCTCCCCCCCCCCCCCCTCTCTCATTCAGCCCAGGGAAGCCATCACTTACTTTACAGTCGTCTATCATCAATCCTTCCATCCAATTTATCCATCCACCTATTCAATCAGCCCGACCAACCAGAAATCTCCGCATAGTGAGGCTCGATTTGAAAAGCAATTTTATTTCCTCTCTCGGTTAGAAAGGCTAGTCCAGGATGGTAGGGGGAGGGGTTAGTTTAGTCTGTGTATTGGTGTGGGTGTGTGTGTGTGTATGTAATGGGGTATGCAAAAATGAACCTGGGTAGTATTTGATGTTGATATTGGTATTTCATTTGATTTGATTTGATTTGATTTGATTGGGGTTTCAGGTTTATGGGGATGTTGGTGGGTGTGGTGAATCGGATTCTTTCTCCGAGATAACTTATTTCTATACTGTGTGATTCACATTTGAGTATTTGGGCTATTAGTTGGGTTTTCTCTGTGTAATGTGATATCTATGCTCGTGCTATGTTTATGTTGTTTTTCTACAGTATCCAGGTGTGTTATAATATGTGGTAAGCATCAATGTATCAAGGTAGCATTGCATGGATTTACATCCCAGGCAATACACGAAAACTAACTATTTAGTCAGTTGAAAGTGTGCGTGGCATGACACACACACACACACACACACGGGTACGGTTTAGCCCTTAGCTTCACTTCACTTCAATCCCAAGTAACTATCCAAAGGATCATTCCAGGTCGTCTCTAAAGCTGAATTTTGTCTAGCCCAGACACATGGTTGCTGATCAGGGGGTTGATGGAGGGGGGAAGGGGGGAAGCGGATACGACACACAGGGCAAGAGCGTACTTTTGAGTCTGACACCTACCACCCTACCCAAGTTAAGTAAATGGTGGCCCCCGGGATGGACAGTAGTGTGCAAGCCGGGAGAAATACGAAGCACTCTTTTTTTTACCAATGAGAGTGGATGGAAAGGTACCTTTGAAGAAGTGACTGACTGACTGTCACCTTCCTACGTCTTCTAAGTAGGCTGCTATCTAGTTAGTTCACCTGGGGGCTGTTTTGGCCAGCCCCTGAATTTCTTTTTTAATCTCCAGATAGGCCCGACGGACATGGCATGGGCCGTGATGGCTACCTAACTAATGTATCTATATTAATCCTTTCTGCCTTCGTGCGGGACTAGACCGGGGTGGGTAGTAGTTGGGATCCGTCAAAGGTCTCACTTACTCTCTCGATCGCTCCCTCATTATTCGAATCCATTAGTCTAATCTTGGGTGCATCGTGGGTAGTAATCTAGCTGTGTGTACGTGGTATAGACTAGGTGCTTCCCGTTAGCCATTTCTCTTCCCTGGTTGGTGTCGAGTCAGACAGCGGGATCTAGAGACTCGGATCGTCCTGTCGTCCGGGGGTCGCGCTTTGTCCAGATGCTGATCCTCGCAAATTGAGTTCTCCGCCATGCGTCGTGGCCATTTGGTTCCCCCCATCCTGGGCACGGTGAGCATTGGAGATGCCATGGCTTGCTTTATCTCGTTTGCTACCCAAGGCAGACTTCCTTTTCCAGCCTGTTGCTGCCGTCAAAGAAATCACGGAAAAGAGGCGGAAAAAGAAAAGGAAAGAAAGAAAGAAAGAAAGAAAGAAAGAAAGACTCCAACTGCCACCTACTAGTGAGTATGTGAGTATGGATAGCGTCGTTACTTCAAAACGTCACATGCGCAGTCTTTGCGATCGCAACCTGAGCAACGGCAATAATGATGATCGGGACGGCCATTGCGGGACTGCAACGATGCCAGTGCATATGACATGAGTCTTCATCATTGATCATTGTCCTCAACAATCGCATGTATATGCGCATGTACGTCAGAACGGACTACTCCGTTCACATACATAGAATGTAGGTACGATCTTCTCCACTCCCTTCCTTGTTAGCACTCGCGCGCCGTGCCGGACTTGCTCGGCGCGACGCGCTGTGATCGCAAAAAAGGAGGTTGTGGAGGTTCCAGACCGGTGGGAATGTGATGAGTCCAGTGACGGCTAGGGTGGGAAAAAGTAAAAAAAGGGCAGACTGGGAAAAAGAAAAACTGCGCGCGCTTCGGTTGACTTGCATTGGTAGGCCGTCGTCGCGTGCTAATCCTAGCACCGATTTGACACCTGTAGCGATCGACTCTGTTGTGCGCGCCCATGTCAGTCGAAGCCATGTCCACGGAGAAAGGTTGGTGACAGGTGCTTGATGGCGTTGCAAAGATGAGAAACCCATCCAATGGGTTCGGGTGTTTCTCCGGCAGGTATCCAGATTGCGACGGGGACATCCCCCGCAAAAAGAGCTGCTGCTGTCATACCCTCTCGACACCCGTCTGTGGAAACATGTCAAACAGCTTCCCGAACGCGGCCCGTCCAGCAGCAAAAATGGTCTTTCGTATTACTCGTGAGGCTGACTGGATGATAGTCACCGAAAAGGCTGGGCGAAACCGTCCTACCGTTTACACACAGACCACGGATTGACACTATTGGTGCCCGAATGGTGAATGGTCACTTGCCCAGGTGTCTGTGCTGTGTGCATGTGTTAGGGATTGGCAGTCTAGTCGATATGGAGTAGCCTGTTCCAACCGAGTACCTGTGTAGTGGGTGTGTAGTAGTCGGGAGGTGGCGGGAAATCAAGGAACTGAAGCAGTTCTGGTGGAGGACAGCTCTCCTCGCTTTGCCTCCAAGGGAGATTGGTCAGTGCACTTTTCTTTGAGGACGACCTAGAGGGTACCACGATGTCTTTGTTTTGGGTCTGGGATTAGAGCGAGTTAGCACCTCCTGAGTAGGGAGTAGGGAGCAGGAATGACTACTTACCCACTAGTAATGAGCAGGTAAGCTCATCGGCAGAACCGGGCACGCCGGGAACTCTCCACTCGAGCAGCAGGGAAAAATAATCACTAAAGGGAAAATCAGAAGAAGGAAAAAACCTGCACATCCCCTTTTGGTTAGCGTCATATGCAGGCATTCCCTCAGCAGATTTCTTACCTGCAGAAATGGATATCGTATGGATCACTACAGGAGATAGATACTAGCCAATATCTAATCAGGTAGTAGTACTGTGGTAAGAATTAAGAAGTTGATAGTGGAACTCTGTCATTAGAAATGATCATTTTCTTCAAATATATCCGGATCATATTCGACCTCTCCATCCTTCATACAACACTCTCAGGTTGACCTCGTGTAAGACGTGGTATTCTTGGGCGTCACGTAATCCTAGCTAGGGATTGATTACCACATTAGAAAAAGTTATGATACCAGCTGGCTGGCAAGGCACATTGTTGAGACCGTCGCTGTGGCACCGAACTCGTAGTACGACTCATGCCTATTACTGCACGAATTGGGTGCACTGCGCATGCACGCAGTAAGATTTGAAGATCGGTTCCTGGATTCCTCACTGCGCAAGAGACTACTTCTATCCCTCCATAGGTAGGTAGAGCGCTCTCTACCTTACCCCCTCGCTTACCCCGATTCGAGCGATCGTTTAGTCTTGTAGTACAGTAGCTCGACCGATCGTCCCTCGATAAGGTTGGTATGTTAGAGAGTTAGTCGAAAAGCCTGGGGTTCGGAGTCTGGAGTACGGAGCAGCATGAGACAAATCGCAAATCGCATAAAGGAGGGGGCAAAAGATATGGGACAGGTCATTATGTTGCTGGGAGAAGAATCATTTTGCCACTCGATTGCTCTCACAGTTTGGAGTGGGTTACTTACTCCTACTACTTTACTAGTTTGCTACCGACGGGGAGGGAAGCTTCCCAGGAGGCGAGGTCCACGTGGTCCATTGTGTACAGTTTACGTTAGCGGTTCTTTCTTGGTAGGAACTGGGATAATATACTGCTGGGTAGCTGGCTGAGAGGAAAAGGCATATATCTGATATATACTCCGTAGTAACTAGTATGTGACTCGACAACAAAGAATACTGGCTAATACTTTTATTCAGATTTCCAGCTCCAAACCACCAACCACCCACGCAAAGCTACAATCCCCCAAGCTTCGTTTCTCTCTTCAGTCCTGCGATGAGATTGATACGATAAGCAGCCTCATTGCGACACGCCGTAGACGAATGGATCAGCGCAATAACGAGGCTTTAGCTTCCCTTAGACTAGACAATCTCAAATAATTCTCCCTTGGATCGGCATAGCATCCATATCCACTATATTGCCCTCCAAAGGAAGAGCACTGCCACATCCAGTAGTCATCTCCGTGAGCCATTCCCCAGCTCGACAAACTAAAGACGCTGATTTGGTTTTTCTTCATGGAGCCCTTGAGATATGGCTTGGCTGCCTTCCAGATGCCATTTGTAAATCCATATTCGATGATCGAAGCATGTTGATCAAATTGATATCGCGCGGTTGCGACATACTCCACTACCACCAGTACCATCATCTCCTCCTCCACCTCCTCCTCCACCTCCTCCACGGTGGCCACTCTTTCAGATGGATAGCTTTTATGAACTTTAACAAACCAATATTACGCCAAGGAATCCCAGCCTCACTTTTTATCATTTTTCTTTCTCTAGCGATCCTACCGCCCAGTAGAATTATGATCCGCTCCGAACCACCCTCTCGGAGTCACAAGGCGGGCAGTCCCGCTGTCACCTTTTTTTTTTTTTTCTCAGAACGAGAATTGGTGGGTGTGTGTATGTGTATGTAAGTATGTCCTGGACAACTGAGGGGTTAGACTCCCCATCGATTGGTTCTCCCGTATACGGGCGATAAGTTCACATAGTAAGTAGTTATCGGACGGTCTGACCAGGCCGGCCCAAACTCCTTCCCTTCCCCCCTCCCCATAAGGCATTTGGGTTGGCACATCTCATGACCTTGCGAGAAAAGAGTCAGGAGTCAGGATACCTAGCCGGTCTAGTGAGGGGTAGGGGGAGCTTGATGGTCCTTGCTGGGACAAATGATAGGCCTGAGACATGGAATTGATCTGCAATTTGGGTCCGGCGAAGATTTACCTGTAATCGGTCTAAAGAATGGCGCCCGGACCTCGTGATGACCGCATCCCATTCCATCTTTCTATTTGCTGGTCGCCTTTTCCACACGCACACACAGACACACACACACACACACACAATCCTCAAAGTCTGAGTGGGTTAAGGGTAGGTAGCTACATACTTACTAGCTAGCTAGCAAGGCAGAATCTTCAGCCAGCGCCAACGCCAACTTGCCTGCCTGCCTGCCTGCCTGCCGACCACCGCGGACGGTACGGAGAACCCCGTCCTGGCATGTGTTTGCATAAATTAGGTGGTAAGAAGTAGTAGACCCGGAGTTTCGGCAGTTAAGTTTACTACTGTATATGGTGCTTGCGCCGCCGGAGTTTTCTGCTGTCAAGGAAATCCCGCGGATTACAGACGAGGTTGCGTTTGTGTTGGGGATCGGACTCTCCTTGTGTTGCTTGCTGTTTGGTACGTAGACTCCAGGTTATTTTGTATTAATTTATTTTTTCGATTAGATGGATCCTAAGTCAGACGAATGAAGAGAATAGGTCTGGCAAATTCCAATCTTGAGATGGCGCTTACTACCTACCTATCTACTTACCTGTTTGCTACTAGTACTAGTAGGTTGTTCGCAGAACAAATCCCGGGGATTCATATCAGGTTAGCAGAACAGCAGCATCAGCCTTGAGCACTACTACTAGCACCAGGATCTTTCTCTTACTTCCACCTATGGTGTATTCGCACCCCTCTGCCGCCCAATTCGACGGCCAATTCCCAATAGCCACAGTGTATCTCTACCCGTGTAACCCCAGTACAAAACGTCGAGCTATCTGTCGTAAAGGACAGGGCTATCCCTTGCTTCCGGCACCTGATCATTCCAATACTAGTTTGTAAGAGAAAGAGAGAGTCAGAGAGTAGGCCTCCTCCTCCTCCTCCTCCTTCTCCTCCTCTCCGGCCCTACTTGCCGCATAGGTGTAGTACCGGCGCACAGTATGCACATCATTTGCTACTAACTTTGCCAGTCGACCCAGCCTTGCAGGATCTCCATTCAAAAGGGAAAACCTGAACAGAAAGAAACCGTGCGACTCCATTCTTACAGTAGTCCATGCATACGATGAGTCGGTAGTGAATTGGCGGGTTTGTTGAGTATGTTTTACTTTTACTAGAGTTAAGTTCTTCTTACTGTAGGGAGAATGGAGCCTGGCGCCAACGCCCTTTCTTTTCCTTTTTCTTTTTTTTTGGGAAATTATTTTTTGGTTTATTGCCTCTTGTCTTAAAAACCGCTGAAGTCTCAAAGACAGACCCAACATGCCGCCAGCCGACGGTGGGTTCCAGGAGACGGGATCATGGAACGTCACTAAAAAGGCGGATCGACCGAATGGGGGCACAAGCTGTTGAATTCGTTGGCTCTCCGAAGCCAGAAATGGGTCACCTGTGGAGGGGCAGGCAATTGGCGGTAATGAATAAGGCATAGCTTGACTCCGATTTTGAACTTTGTAAGGTACGGAAGATTCCGTATCTGAGAGCGAGACGGTGAACATCGGGTGTAAATCTGGAGGTGGTTTTTGTTATGGTTGGGTGCTGTTGGGTCATCGCGTCAGTTTGGGTTTTGTTTATGCTTCGATGTGAACAAAGACGCGAAGAGGACATGGTTCTCTGCGGTAACAAATTTGAGTAGAATAATAATGTGTCGGAGTTGTGGTTAGTTGGAAAGTCGAGAGTTCCATCAGGATTATGCCCCTCCATTTTCCCGAGACCGAGATTATTCCAGCCGAAATTTTAGGGACGGTTCAAGGCCACGACGGTGTGTTGATATTACCCCACTAATTGAAGGTGAAGGTGATCGGGCTGCTGTGCTTGCGAGCCCAGTCATTTGGTCGTCTTACAGTCTTGCAGGGTGGCAGCAGTAAGCAAGACTGTAGCCACATTTAGCCTAATCAGTTTAAGTGCTCTTTGACTGACCTTTTCTCTGATTTTCGTTTCCGTTCTTCATGTTCTTATTGATTTTTTTGCTGGTTCGCGCGGGAATGTACTAGTCAATGCTTTCAGAGTCAGAGGCTCTAGCTGGTGAGTTTACTAGTAACCGTGTCACAATACGAGCTAGGTAAATATACGACGCGACCGAAAGGTGGCAAACTGGGTACTCACTCCGATGCTGCGTCATGAGATCTACCCCTTATACATATCTGCGCAGTCCCTTTAGACGGTAGACTATTTTAGTAGTATATCAGACTAGCTAGGTCAGTTCTTTGTGTTAGGTTGCGAGCATTCATGTTTTGAATACGCGCTAATGATGAGGTTTATTGAAGATTGGCATGGGAAAGAAAGCTGTTAGGCGTTTGGCAGAAAAAGGTTTGTTTTGACCGAATGTAATCCGAATGACAAGCTGCGACCAGTAAGCCAAATAACTAAAAGTAAAAAGGAGGGAAACCCAAGGTTCTCTTCCGTAAGTTACCGTTCCTTCGGACGACCGCGGATAAGTCAGCGGCTGTCCCTGAGGTGAACCATAATTAGTCGCAGATGAAGACCCAGGGAACAATTGCCGTTTTGCTTTTTTGGTTGTGGG